GTGCATTTTTAACAACAAAGTTTGCATCAAGGGGCATTAGGCACTATGAAATTTACTTATTTATTTATTTTTAATCTCCTCAAATTAGTCCATTGCATCCTATATTAAGGACTGGAGGTAGTACTTGGATGCAAGCAATAAACCTCATATCCTAGAAGGGAAAGATGTGTTTTGCTTAAATACATATAAAAGGCTTGGAGGCTAAGAAAATGACATGACAGAGAAAGTGTGCGTGTTGACTATGATGAGAGAAAGATGGATCGACTTGGAAGTGAAAATTGATGGAGAGAAAATATAGCATTTGGTGAGACCGAAAAGAATAAAATTAATGGATGTTTATGGAAGTTGAAGAATTTTGTTATTTTTTTTCTTTTACAAAGTTCATGTATATTTTTGCACCCAAGTAAATTTCATGGTGCCTAATGCCCCTTGATGCAAACTTTATTGTTAAAAATGCACCTTAAAACTGACTTTCTGGGCCCCTCTAACGAACGTTAACGGCATGGTGCCAGATGCTCCCTTTTAACAACTTCATGTATATTTTTGTACCCAAATAAACTTTATGGTGCCCAGTGCCCCTTAGGGTAAACTTTGTTGTTAAAATTGCACCTTAACCCATTTAACAAACTTATGTTCTTTTTCTCTTTCTTGTTTGATTTAAAATTGTGTTTCTCTTGAATCTTCTCGTACTTTGAATTGATACATGGACCCAGTTTCCTTCTTTATGATCATGTCTAATATATAAGGGTTCACTCTCATCAATTGGTATAAACAATTTGAGCTCAATCAAATTCCCTCATACTTAGACCTTTGTACTCCTGGACAAAGCTAAAAAATGACTCAAAAAGATACAAGTGCAATGAGAAATACTAACATGCTTAAAGATGATAGTAGAAGATTAGCAAGAAATTCCCACGAAGATGTCACAACAGTAAAATAAAGACATGCTAAGAAAGTAAACACTATGGACGTTTAATCCAAAAGATTGAGCAAATGAGATTTATCTCAAAGGTATGTGTTTGGCTCTCAACTAACTTGTTTTGGGATTATTTCACTCTAAGTATGTTCAGTCCAATCTCTACCATAGGCTTGTAATAATTCTATCTCTCCACCACAAGAACCACAAGTTGCAAATCAAGAAGACTTAAGGTTCATAAATTTTGGTGATGGTCAAGTGAAATGGATGGGATAGAAGAGAAAGTAAAATTGAGTACAAGCATAACAATTATTCTACTTATGCGATAAACATAAACCTTCCTAAAGAAAGGAGTTAATAATAATAAAATAATTATTATATTTTTTTTGGTTTGTTTTGTTTTTGTTTTTTGACATATATATGGCCAAACAGAACAAAAATCCACAGTTTATTTGCATGCATGTACTCAAAGTGTAGGTCCAAAGGGGTTGACAATGGTAAGGAGTTTGGGCTTGTGTTTAGGTAATAAGGGTTTGGAATCGAATGCCTCTGTCATGTCCACAATATGTTGATTCACCAGGCTTTGATTAAGAATTACAACAAGTTCTAGAGAAATATGAAACTAAACAGATTCACACAATTTAACAAATTAAGGCCCAAATATCCTTCCAACAAGGCTAGTATCCCAATTAATCAATTTCAAGGTTTAAAAGCGCAAAATCCTATTTTCAAAGCATACCCCTTTTTTTTTTTACACTCCTTGTCAAAAACAGTGGGGAACGACTAGTCTAAGTTCAACCATCATTTAAAAGCATAGGTAGTTTTCTAAAAACACAAGTATAATTTTGATTTTTCAGTAATTTTAAGCAAAATGCAGGAGTATTAAGAATCTAAGCAGGAGGATTTCTGAAGAAAGAAAAATGAAACTGCAAAGCATTCAAGTTCTTTTTTGGCATTTCGCCACGGCAAATGAAGGGGTTTGTCACGGTGAACCTTAACCGAAAAGGAAAAACTGGAAGCAGACCTACTTCGCTGCGGTGAAACATAGGTTAGCCGTAGTGAAGTATGGTCGAGACATGAAAATAATTGAGAAAGAAGCGTTGGTCGCGGCGAAAGCAAAAGTTTATCGTGGCGAAGGTTGACAGAGAGACAAAATGTAATGCAATTTTCAAACTTCCCTGAAAGTTAACTTCAATGACTTCAAAAATGCCACAGTTTATCAGTTCTAAAACACCTAAGGGATCAAAATAGATGCATAATAAAGCACTTGCTGAAATAAAAAATAGAGATCCCTCCCCCACACTTAAACACAACATTGTCCTCAATGTTTAAACCTATACATGCAAACCAATCAACAAGTGAACTGGACGTTGTGAAGTCTAATTTTAAATTGAAGCACAACACATCGAATTCACAAAGAGAAGAAAGAAGGGTGACAGGTTGTAGGCAAAACAAAAAGGATAAGTGAAAATATTGGAAGGAAGCAATGCAGGCATAAAGATTACAGCAAAAATAAAGAGGCCATCAGTAGCTAAACAGTTAAACCAGCATCCAATGTATCACAGTAATGAAAATACCAAAAGACTTAACAAATATCCAGCAAAACTGACACAAAACAGACATAAAAAACAAGAAATAAAATAAAACACGAAGAAAGAACTACTGCTGCATCCCACTATCATCCGCCCCAGACCCAGATGGTCCTGCACCAAAAGTGCTTGCTCCAGATGTTTCGACTCCACTCTGATGGTCATCCTCTTTGAGAGGTAGGAGGAAGTTCAACCGTTCAGCAATCAAATCATCCACACGACGACGGTAGCACCAGTCTCTATCATACAGAGCGTTGCGGTCCTTCTGCCTCTTTATCTCTCAAAAGAGTGCAACACGCAACTGGTGGACATGATCTGCCAGCTCATCGATATCATCAGCCAGGGTGTCCAAGGTGACAGGTTCTGGAGCTTCTGGGTCTTCCTGGCCTTATTGGCCTGCTTGGGCTTCTAAGGCTTGTGCACCAGTTGCATAGACTGCTCCAACGTCATAAACAGGATGGATAGGTGGAGGTGGTCCAATGACAGGCTGCTTAAGGTGGTCATAACGAAATAAGGGGGCTAGCTCAAAGTAGCTGTCATTTTTGTACTCAAGGACATTAGCAGCATGGAAAAGGTCAGTGACTAGGTAAGGGAAGAGGATGCTGTTGGTGAGTTTGGGGTTGTTAATGGAATCATGGAGAGCTGAGTAAATGGCGTCGGCTACATCAACTGAGCGGCCAGTCATGAGAAGATAGATGTATAGGGCTTAGCGCTTAGGAACATTGGCTAGGTGGGTGGTGGGGACTAAGTTGTTGCAGACAAAATACAGCCAAGGACGAGCCTCAGGTTGGAACTCGGATTACTTAAGGTATTGCTCTGTAGTATGGGGGTAATGACAAGTGGCACCCTCATGACACAGGGTTAGGAGAACATCATCAAAAGGGTAGTTATCTCTGAGTTCATAGTAACTACGATGGCGATAGAGGCAAGCGGTAATGGAAGCAGATGTTTTCGGCGATAAAAGAACGATGGACACAGATATTGCAAAAGTCAACGATCATGGAACCATGGAATTGGGCATAGGTGTGGAAATGGTGACCAAAAGCGCTATTGCCCATAGAACGCTCCTAGACCACATCGGTCAATTAGGATGCACGAAGCTGGCATACAAAAAGGTGATCGGGGGGTCTAAGGGAAAAGGTCGCTCCTTGAGGAGAAGTCTCTGGTTAATTTTGTCATATAACTCCTCAAAAGTATACTCATCCCCAGAATCAGATTCAGACACAGGCGCAGGGTTCTTAGTACAAGGCATTCTTTGAACACAACAAACAAAACACACTAAACAAAGACCAAACAAACAGCAACGAACACTACCCTAGAAAAACCAAAATTAGCAACCAAGGCAATAACAAATTGGCTATGTAATGATTCATAGGTTTTTAATTTACTAAAAACTTTCAAAATTGAGTAAGAAAAGCACTGAAAAACAAAATGCACAATGAATCATTAGATAGCCTAAGAGCTACGTAACTGAAAATGAACAGCAAGAATAAATAACCCAACCAAACACCCAACCAAAGGAACTAAATGAAAAAGAATTAGCTGAAAAAGAAAGAAGGAAGAAAAACTGAAAGAAGAGAAAGAGGAGAATCTTACGCAGGAGATGAAATAGAAACCGAAAGTGAGGAGCACCAAGCGTGACTACTGAGAAAAAGGCGTAGGCAGAGGGACGGACAGAGGAGAACAAGGAACCGAACACAAGAGAGGAAGGAAGAGAAGGTATGCGAGTAGAGGGAGAGTGGGGGAAGCTACCGACTGGACGATGCTAAGGGAGGGGGAGTGTTTCTGCAAAAATGTAACCGAAGGGTATGGGATGGGGCGGTTTCTGTGAAAGAATGAGGGGTTAAAGGTTGAGGGGAGGTGAAAAGACTAAAATGGAGTTAAGAGAATTGAATAGGTAGGCAGTTACAAGGGGCAAAGAGGTAAATTGACACTGAAAAATCGGATTTAAAGAAAACATTACGAGCAGGAATCGAGAGTTCACTACGGCGAAAGTTCACCAAGAGAAACAAATAAAAATTGGGCAACTTCGCCATGGCGAAGGTAGGAGTTAGCCACAGTAAAAGTAGCCAGAGACGCCTAAAAATGAACAGAAACAATCAAGCAACAGAGGAACACAACACAAAAATACGGGGGGCAGCTGGATACTTCAGAAACTTTTTAGGTATACAAGATGAGATCAATAAGTGCTCAATTAAAACAAGATAAGGTAGCACAACACACAAAATTGAGTAGCAAACTCTCTCCATTAATTAAAGACAGATAATGCAGCAACTTGCTGCATTATAGCAATTAAGCACACAACGAGAAAAGGCAGATATTTAAAATCAAGAAGGGAATCTTATTGAACAGGCAAATAACTAACTACACTAAAACTATACTACTGAGATGGTTTCTTCCCAACACTCAATCAGTATACCAAAACACAGAACATATCATGAGCAATAATAGGGCAAAGGTAAGTAAATGAGTGAAGGAAAGAAACAACCTGAGAATTAAGAAGGCTTTTGATTCTCATGGTAGAGCTTCAGTAGATAGCCATTGACTTTTAGTCTAGCTCCAGTCTCCTCGTGCAAAAGCTCAACCATGCCAAAGTTGTGCACTCTTGTGACTGTATAGGGCCCGTCCCATCTAGTATTGAATTTTTCTTGCTTGAAAATGAACCGGGCCTTATACAATAATAGTCGGTCACCCTCTTTGAAGTGTTTCCATAGGATTCCCCAGTCATGCACGAACTTTGTGTTCTCCTTGTAGAGTCTGGAGTTTTCATAAGCTTCAAGTCTAAGCTCCTCTAACTCTTGTAGTTGCAACTTCCTTTCCTTTTCAGTAGAGTCTATATTTACATTACACTGCTTAACTGCCCAATAAGCCTTGTGGCTAAGCACCACTGGTAAATGACAAGCTTTCCCAAAAACCAACCGGTAAGGGGACATGCCAATAGGTAATTTGTAAGCTGTCTGGTAAGCCCATAATGCTTCTTCCAAACATAAACTCCCGTCTTTCTTGGAAGGCCTTACCATCTTCTCCGATATGTACTTCACCTCTCTGTTAGAAATTTCAGCTTGACCATTGGTTTGGGGGTGGTAGACAGTGGAGACTTTATGAGTGACACTAAATTTTGAAAACAGATTATCTACAATCCTATTACAAAAATGTGTACCCCTATCACTCACTACAGCCTTAAGATCCCATACCTACAGAAATGTTTGATTTAAGAAATTTCAAAATAGCTTGGGCATCATCTTTTCTAAAAGGTATCGCTTCAATCTATCTGGACACATAATTGAAAGAGAGCCTTAGTTATCGTTCGCTTAGAGGTTCTCGCTCAAAAATTTATCCAAGCTATGCAGTATAGTGCAAACTCGGGTCGTTTCACTTTTGGGAGCCTTTATTAATTACCTAAGCTAGACTAAATGCCATGCAATGCAATGAAATGGGGTTTTAGGTTTTTAAGACTTAAATGAATGGTGCCTAAACTAAATGCAATGAAAACAAACTAAGATACTATATTTTTGGTGTTTTAAGATAATAATGATGGAATGGAAATGAATGATAGGAAATCTCTTGAAAATGGCTTTGATGGCAATCATAGTTCACTTAAAATATTGGGAGTTTCACAAATCATTAGGTTTTCTTAATAACAACCTCAATAACTCATTGAGTCCAAAGCTTACATTAATGAACTCATTAATGAAAACTTTGTTAAGCTTCCCTAATGTGTAATTTTGGAATGATCATGCAATTGGCTTAATGAAACATACAATCAACTTAGTATCCAAACACAACTATGCAAGATAAGAGAGAATCATGAGAGTTACAATAAGCATATATGCAACTACATATATTTAAGCACAAGGTTCAACATCAATCAATCCAAATTACAAATGTAATCATTAACCAATAATTACAGTATCAGTCCCAAGTTCCTGACTAAGAAATTACAACTCCTAGACCTAGAAAGCCATAAATCATAGCTAAAATTGCAAACTGAAACTAAACTCCCCTTTGAAGCTTAGGAACTCAAGCCATACCACCATTCTTCAAGAGTTGATAAACCCTAGCTCTCCATAGCTTCAAGAAAAGCTCCAACTGAAGTGAATCCGTCAGCCATGGTAGTTGGGAGTGGAAGGAATTGAGATGGAGTGAATGAAAGATGAAGGAAATAGATGGGGAAGAAGATGGAGGTGGAGAGGCAAGAGGATGGGAGAATAGAGGTGTTGTAGAGATGGAATGGAGTGTATTTTCAAAAATAGGGTTTCTAAGGGTTTTAGGGGTCCATCTGGGTCGGATCATATGATTAGAAGCTCCATTTTCGCGTTCTGATCCGGATCTGGCGTTGCTGATACGAAGAGTTCATCGCGGCGAAGCATGCCCGAGAGGAGCTCTACCTAATCTTGTGATTTCGCCGCGGCGAAGCTATAAGTTGGCCACGACGAACTCTGCCCGAGAGACTACTGGGGAGATTTCAATTTGGCGCCGAATCTTCGCCGCGGCGAACTCTATTAGTGCTGATACTCTGATCTTGTGTTGTGTCATCCTTTGGTCTTTGATCTTGGCTCCAATTCTCAATTGTCCTACAATAAAAAGCAACAATTTGAAGCATCAATTGTCCTAGAAATCAACTGAATACAATTAATAACCAATTATGACAATTTTAACCTCAAAAAGACACTAACTCAAAGCAAGGACTCTTAATCTAAATTAAGCACAATTATCATCAAAATGAGCCAAAATCTATGATAAATACCCTTAAAATGATATGAAATAACATAGAATAATTGGGCTAAATCAATAATCTACAGCTAACAAAATATATACAAAACCAAAGGATGAAGGAAAGGGTCCCATAAAATCAATACCCTAAACATAAAAAATTTCGCAAAACAATAAAGGCTGTTGAGGCATCTCATGCCTTTTTCCTAACCCTCCAAAACGTTGACATTTGTCACAGGACTAACAAAATGCAAAAGAGTCTTTAAAAAGGGTTGGCCAATAAAATCCCAAATCTAAGATTTTCCTAGATGTTCTCCTTGCACTAACATAACCCCCACAAACCATGGAATGACAAGCTGAAATGATGGGCTCGAAATCTTTATTTGGGACACACTTCCTAATAACCTGATCACTACACATTCTCCACAGATGTGGTGTATCCCATATGTAGTGTCGGGACTCTTTTCGAAGCTTTTGTGCCTGAAATCTAGACATAAAAGGAGGGGTGAGTCCAGACATGAGATAATTGACAATATCAGCATACCAAGGTTCTTTAACAACCACAGCATATAAAACAAAATCAGGAAAAGAATCACAAGTGAGTTCAGAAGAGTCTACTCCCCTTGTGTCCTCTGGTAGCCTACTTAGGTGATCGGCTACTTGATTCAATACCCCGGCTCGATCTTTTATCTCAATATTGAACTCTTGTAAAAGCAAAGCCCACCTTATTAATCTTGGCTTGGATTATGGCTTCTTGAATAGATAGCAGACAACCACATGATCTGTAAAAACAACCACTCGAGAATTGATTAGATATTGCCTAAACTTATCTAAGGCAAACATAATAGCAAACATCTCCTTCTCGGTAGTGGTGTAGTTGACTTGAGCTGGATCAAGTGTTTTAGACGCATAGGCTATGACTCTTGATTGCTTCTCCTCCCACTAACCAAGCATGGCACCTACTGCAAAATTAGAAGCATCACATGATAGCTCAAAGTGTAAATCCCAGTTAGGTGCAGTTAAGATTGGAGGCGAAACAAGCATAGATTTAAGAGTATCAAAAGCATGTCTACAATTGTCATCAAAGTTAAATTCCACATCTTTTTTCAACAAAGTAGAAAGGGGTAGGGCAACTTTACTAAAATCTTTAATAAATCGCCGATAAAACCCGTATGCCCTAAGAAAGATCTCAAATCTTTAAGATAGGTGGGATAAGGAAGTGAGGATATAAATTCAATCTTTGCCTTATCAACCTCAATCCCTTTTTGGGAGATTAGGTCCCTAAAACTATCCCACTATCCACCATAAAATGACATTTCTCAAAATTTAACACCAACTTCTTATCTATGCACCTCTCAAGAGCCTGTTTTAGGCTATTCAGGCATTGATCAAAGCTCTCCCCATAGACTGTGAAGTCAACCATGAAGACTTCTATGTTTTTCTCAAGAAGGTCACTGAAAATCACCATCATACACCTTTGAAAGGTGCCTGGAGCGTTACATAACCCAAATGGCATCCTACGATAAGCGTAGGTACCGAAAGGGCATGTAAAAGTGGTTTTGTCTTGATCCTCGGGGGCTATAAGAACCTGAAAATAACCTGAAAACCCATCTAGAAAACAATAATGTGACTTGCCAGCAAGCCTCTCTAACATTTGATCTATGAAAGGAATAGGGAGATGATCTTTTCGTGTGGCATCATTAAGTTTTCTATAGTCTATGCACACATGCCATGAATTTTGCACCCTTGTAGGGATACGCTCATCCCGTTCATTCTTAACCACTATCACCCCACTCTTTTTAGGTACTACGTGTACTGGACTGACCCATTCACTATCAGAAATAGGATAGATAATCCTTGCACTCAGGAGCTTAGTAATCTCCTTTTTAACTACATCAAGTATAAGAGGGTTCAGTCGCCTTTGGGGTTGCCTCACTGGTTTTGATCTCTCACTAAGAAGAATCTTGTGTGTGTAAATAGATGGACTAATTCCAGGAATGTCAGCTAGAGTCCACCCTATTGCCCTCCTATGCTCCCTTAAAATAGATAAGAGTCTCTCTTCCTCACTCCCAGACAATGAGTTAGCAATAATAACAGGTAATTGTTCATTAGACTCAAGGAAAGCATATTTCAGAGTAGGGGCAGGGGTTTCAAATCAATCATAGGTGGTTGCACAATAAAAGGGATCAATTTATGAAGTTTAAGAGAGAACAGATTACTCCTCTTTCCTTCAACCAATGATAGCTCTGGTTGAATTTGATCAGCTTTGCGGTTTCCTTCCTCTCCAAGCGTTGAACCAACTTCAAGTTGATCTACAGCAACAACCATCTTAGAGGGATTCTTTTCCATATCATCATTTCCCATTTTAGCATCAGCTTCTATGATGTTAGGGCAATCTGAAACATGAACAGAAAACTTTTCCCCAAGGGAATCATCACTGATAAAAGAGGAATCACAAATTGAATTTGCATCGGTAGATGACACAGAAAATGTATGCAGGATGGAAAGCATGCAATTAACCACAATACAGTCAAGACATGTCACATCACTACCACATGAACAAGTAGAAAGAGATGAAAAAGAAGAAACAGATTCATCTTCATCATTAGAGTCAGTAGAGTAAAGGTTAGAATAAAAAGAATCATGTTGCAATTCAATTTCAGAGCAAGCATCCTCAACAGCAATGTCCATCATGTTAACACCCAATAGTGAATAGTCTTCATAAGGATGTTTTATTGCTTCATCCATGTTAAAAGAAACTTTATTATCACCCACTTCCATTGTAATGGTCCCCTCTTTCATGCCAATCATGGTATTAGCAGTCCTTAAGAAAGGTCGACCAAGGATTAGTGTGGTGTCATTTACAAGCTTAGAAGACATGTCAAGCACATAGAAATTAGCAGGAAATACCAAATCCTTAACTTAAACCAAAATATCCTCAATAATGCCCTCAGGATACCTAATAGTCCTATCAGCTAGTTGGAGCATAACAGTAGTAGACTTAAGAGTCTTGACTTCTAGTGAAGTGTAAATGGACTTAGGCATGACATTAATGGCTGCTCCTAGAGCAAGCAGGGCTCCCCCTATAGTGACTTTTCCTATTGTGCAAGGGACAGTGAAAGATCTAGGGTCTTGACATTTTACTGGGATTTGGGGTTTAAACAAGGTAGACACATTAGAGGGCAATTGAACTCTTTCATTAGGCTTAAACATCCTCTTTTATGTACACAACTCTTTAAGAACTCTTGCATATTTAGGACTCTTTTTAATCAGGTCAAGCAAGGGAATATTGACTTCTACCTTCCTA